AAATAACACCAACATAATGCATTAAGTTATATAGTACCGTTCAAAAGTTTAGTGTAAGATTTTTTTTTAAGAGATGAATGCTTTTATTCAGCAAAGAAACATTAAAATGGTCAAAAATGACAGTAAAAACATTTATGTTACGAAAGATTTCTATTTTAAATAAATGCTGTTCTTTTGGACTTTCTATTCATCAAAGAATCCCGAAAATTAAAATGCATCACAGTTTCCACAGAAATATGAAGCAGCACGACTGTTTTCAACATTAATAATAATAATCAGAAATGTTTCTTGAGCAGCAAATCAGCATATTAGACTGATTTCTGAAGATCATGTGACACTGAAGACTGGAGGAATGATGCTGAAAATTCAGCTTTGATCACAGGAATAAATGACTGTTTAACAGATATTCACATAGAAAATAGTTATTTTAAATTGTACTATTTCATGATTTTACTGTACCATGTTTTTTATCAAACAAATGCAGCCCTGGTGAGCAGAAGAAACAGTACTTGTAGGTTTTATCACCCAAAAAATGATTTGATGAGCTAAAAATGAATAGTTGTTGATTGGTGACTTTATTTGAAGTATTTGACATTTAACTGATCTTTACCTGAACAACGTTTCGTCTCCATCTAAACAGAAAGCGCTCTTACATAAGCAGCAGAGCCAGCCGTTACTGGAGCTCCCGATGGGATACAAAGAGAAGGAGCTGACGGCCGAGATGATGCAGAAACGCGAGGAGCGCGCTCGCAAAAGACACCTGCAGGCCACCAAGAAAGCCGAGGAGAACAAGAACCAGACCATCGAGAGACTGACCAAGACCAGCAAGGCCAAGATCAAGAGCATGAAGGAGCGCAGGTCCAAGCAGGCGCAGCTGCCCATGGTGATGTACAGCAGTAACGTTCAGGGCTCCGCTGTCTCGTACCCCGCCGGGATCTCCGTCCCGACGCCTGCTGCCCTGTGAGCGCCTCCCCCCGCGCCCCTGAGCTGCAGCATGTCCGGATGCTCCAACCTGAAGAAATACTCCTGCTCAAAGACGGGGACGCCGCTGTGCAGTCTGGTGTTCTACAGGAAGAACCTGATGCTGGTGCAGGAAGTCGCTTAAAGTGGTCTTTGTCAATGGAGTGTATTTAAAAATAGTAGGTCGATGCAATTATGTTGAACAAAGACAAAATTCTTTGATTAATCAGTATAAAATCATGCTGAAGTTTATTTATTTTGTGCATTCAAAGCGATTCATGAAACACAAGCAGTAACACTTTACGGTACGGTAACATTTTTTGATATTAGGTTTTCTGAACCAACAATGAACAATTTTTACTGATATTATTAATCTAACTTAATGTAAATGTATAAATAAATATAAATGCATGTATATATATATAGTGAAAACAGGCCTGAAATGACCTACTCATACTGTATATGAGAGGAAGAGAGGGAAGGATTGCAAAAATGAGAGATGTCCCTGATCTTGACACAGATCTTCCCAGGACTGCTGTGCCCAAAGGGATCAATTTTTCCCTCCGGTTCCGGACACAAGTTCCATATCAGGAATTATATCATCACATCCTCAACAAATATATAGACTGAAAAAAAAATTGGTTAAGGAAACATTTTTTACTCAGCAACCACTAGTAAATGTCACAAATAATTGACTTTAGTCAGGTTAGACACCATATTGAATTTAAAACGAGGATGAAAACGAGGCTGTGAGGGATAGACAGTCTTTTTTTACAGTCTTTTCAAAGGCATGCACTGTATAAAGGTCTTAAATCATGTAATTTTCACAACTCATAGCATAACATAATATATATATTATTCACACACACACACACACACACACACACACACACACATATATATGTTGTTTGTTGTTAATTCACTGTTAGTTCATTCATAACAAATTAACTAATATTAATTTATACAACCTGACCCATTTAAAATGTATTAGCATATGTAGACATTAACATTAAGCTAAATTAATAAATGCGTTAAAATTATTTTCATTGTTAGTTTATGATCTAATATTAACAAATTGAACTTGTTGCAACACAAGAAAATGGTCTAATTCAAGAGCCAGAATGAATTTGCAACAGCTTGCATAAAGCATAAATACGCATTATATAATGCTTAACAGACATCACACTGTATGAAAGTTATATAGTCATACTGTCCAAAAGTTTGGGGTCATTAAGATTTTATTTTCTTTTTTTTTTTTATTATTATTATTATTCAATTCAATGCAACAATTAATTAAGAATTATAAATGATTTACAAAAGGAATTTACAAAAGTAGAATAAATAGTTAATAAAATTACCTTAAACTGAGCGTAACAACATAATGGCAATCAAATATATTCATAAATCATTTTGTAAACAACATGGCAAAAATTGTTGCATTGAATTTGCGCATTATAATGTTTTATAACCTTCATTGTGCTTGTGTTTAATGAATGATCGTAGAATAAATCTAAAGACTTAAAAGCACGGTTTTATTTTTGTAAGAAGGCTGAAATAAAAAACACCTGAAAGTAAATCTTGTATTTATTTTGTGCACTCGAAGTCACAAAGCGTAATTCATGAAAGTAATACTTTATGGTAAGGTTCATTTTTTTTAATGCATTAGGTTTTATAAACTAATAATGAACAACTTTTTACAGCAGTTATTAATCAAATCTAATGTTAATATATAAATAAAATATTGTATATTGTTAACTCATTGTTAGTTTGTTCCTAATACATTAATGTTAATTTATACAACATGACCCGTTTAAAATGTATTGGCATATGTAGAAGTATTTTTCATTTTGACACAATCTGTATTGTTAAAAGCGCTATATAAATAAAGGTGACTTGACTTGACATAAAGCGTAATTCATGAAAGTAACACTTTATGGTAAGGTTCATTTTTTTTAATGCATTAGGTTTTATAAACTAATAATGAACAACTTTTTACAGCAGTTATTAATCAAATCTAATGTTAATATATAAATAAAATATTGTATATTGTTAACTCATTGTTAGTTTGTTCCTAATACATTAATGTTAATTTATACAACATGACCCGTTTAAAATGTATTGGCATATGTAGAAGTATTTTTCATTGTTAATTTATGATATCTAATATGTTAACAAATTTAACCTACTGTAAAGTGTTAATTCAATTCAATGTGACAATTAAGAATTACAAATTATTTAAATTTACTTTAGAATTAAAGGAATTCTTGAATCATGAGAATGAATTTCTGTGTAAATGGTTCATAGAACTACTTTGAATCGAATATATTTCTATGTCAATCATTCTGTAAAAACATTGTTGCATTGAATTTGAGTATAGAAATTGTTTGTAACACGTTCATTCTTCCGTTTAATTATGTAACCGACATATTGTTGAAACTACCCAGACTTGAGAGCGCAGCCTTATTTTTGTAAAAAGACTGAAATAAAGAACAGCTGAAGTAAATCTGCGTTCATTTATTTGATAAACGACGCACATTTGTTGGTTGAACAATGTATTACAAAACTTCGGAGAACATGACGTTCTACACCTTCAATAAAATACAAAAAAAATTTCATTTCACAAAGTTCAGAAGTGTTGTTAAGGCTTTGGTTATAAATGCTGCTTTAAAAAAAAAACTAATTTCACTTGATCCAGCAAGGAAAAGTCAAGTGAAAAACATAATTTCATGATCAGTTTTTCTGCTGCGAGTGTTCATAAGCAAGTCAATTGAGCCCGTTGAAGAATTCCAGCATAGTCTGAGGTATTAAAGTTGTTTTCACCATTTCAATGCATTTTATTGTCTGATTCATCAGACCGGTTCATTAGTTTATTGCTACAGACGTTGCTGTTTGTATTTAACTTCCATTGTGCAAAACCCTTCATAGTTTAAGCCCACAACAACATATGATTAAAACAAGGAATATTTCAGCCAAAAATGAAAATTTACTCTCAGGCCATCCAAGATGTAGATGAGTTTGTTTCTTCATCAAATGTGGAGAAATGTAGCATTGCATCACTTGCTCACCAATGGATGCTCTGCAGTGAATGGGTGCCGTCAGAATGAGAGTCCAAACAGCTGATAAAAACATCACAATAATCCACAAGTAATCCACACCACTCCAGTCCATCAGTTAAAGCAAAAAGCTGCGTGTTTGTAAGAAACAAAGACGTTTTTAGCTGTCGCTTCTGGCTAAAATACGAGTCCATAATAACGCTTCCTCCAGTGAAGATGTGGTCTCGTCTGAATCAAGAGAGAAATCCGCACAGATCAAGCGAATCAGTCCAAAACAGCTCAAAACATATATGCTGGTGGATTTTGATGTGAGACAACAGGAGATGGACTTTTTCACTGGAGGAAACGTTATTATGGATTATGGATTAGTATGTTGTTGGCCAGAAAGAAAATTCCTTAATGATGTATTTGTTTCTAACAAACATGCAGCTTTTCACTTCACAAAATGTTAATTGATGGACTGGAGTCATGTGGATAACTTGTGTAATATTGTGATGTTTTTATCAGCTGTTTGGACTCTCATTCTGACGGCACCCATTCACTGCAGAGGATCCATTGGTGAGCAAGTGATGAAATGCTACATTCCTCCAAATCTGTTTCAGTGAACAAACAAACTCATCTACAACTTGGAGGGCCTGAGCATGAGTAAAATTAAATTTTTTGTGTGAACTCGTTTAAGCTACATTTTCTTTGTGAAAATATAGTTTCTTATTTTTTTATTTTGAGTTAGGGTTGAAGTGTCATCTGGATATGTTTTGTGTGATTCACCCATAAAAGGCGCTGTACTGTGTGTATAAAGCTATATGTGCTGATATAACTAAGCTCTGTGTGCATTTAAAACCAGACATTTTCTTTTTTCTTTTTTTTCACCACAAAGCTGCCTTCAGTGCAAACGTTCTGCATGCATATAAACAATGGACGCATTGGATTCTTAGTGAATTTCCTTCACAATCTAATCTTGTTTTCTGTGCTTCGACCTTGCAGTCTGATGAAAGATTACTTCTTCAGACCGCCCATCAACAGGTTGAGCCACACTTTCATAGACAAATCCCTGGAGTCGGCTTACAGGACCAGCTACCAGGATGAGGTATGATGTTCCTTCCATTTATATGTAGCTTTTAATTTGTTCTCACTCAGTCACAATGTTTATAACTGGTTTTAACTCAGTAGTGGTCTGTGATTTGTTCTAACTGGTCAGTAAGAGAGAGAAAGCGTCACAAGTACAAAGTTTGTTGCACTGTCTGTACTGCCCTCTGGTGGTCTGCCTTTTGAATGCATAAATGCTAACCAGGACATATTTATTATACTAGAAGTATTTCTTAATTTGATCAATAATTAAGTTCTTAATTAAGAAGTAAGTTCTTGATTTGATCAATAATTCTGTTGTTTTCTTTCTGATTGTTGTCAGGTTAAGACGCAGGCTCCTGTCCAGACGTTTGCCAGTCCAACATTCAGCTCTTTCCTAGACATGCTCCTGTGCTGTTGTGTTCTCCTGGCTCTCTCTGTGGCCTGCCTCCTGCGACCGCTGGTTACCCAGCAGCCCCTGCCCACACCTGCCCTCATAGTAGCCACAGTTGCAGCTGTGCTTGAATGTTTGGCCCTAGTGCTGGCAATACGGTGAGTGTAAAGATTACGATCATTTATTCACCCTCATGTTGTTCCAAACCTGTACGATTGGTTTTCATGCAATATAAAAGAGCATATTTTTCAGAATGTCCTAACTGGTTTTTTTTCCTGTAAATTGACAGTGAATGGATTTGGCAAAACTGCATAACTGAAAGAAAAAAAAAAAAAAAACAATAGACAAAAAGGCCATATTATAGTTTTTGTTCATATTTTGAATTGTTTTATTTTTAGATTTTCTGTTTTCACTTTACTTTTAGTGAAAGTTTTATTAATTTTGTTTTTGATTTTTTTTAGTAATTTTTATTATTATTATTTTTTTATTTGTTTATTTAGTTTTTGTCGCTTTAGTAACAAATAAAGTTAAACTAAATGAAAAAAAAAATGTTGATTTGGCAACTTTAAATAAGATAAAGTTTTTTTTTTTAATATGTATATTTTGCTTTATTTCAGTTAATGTTCAAAAATATCAAAAAAAAAATTTAGTACACTATAATAACCCTGGCGTATAATCAAATATGTTGCAACACGTCATGCATGCTAGGTTTGAACAAAATTAATTTTATAGTTTTAGAATGACATTAGGGTGAATAAATGATTTCATTTTTGGATGTATGTGTATAATCTATTCATGTTTATTAGTAGTTTAATTATTGTCTATATATTTTTAAATAATTTGTATTTATTAGTTGTAGTTAATTTACTTTTAATTGTTTTGGTACTTCATTTTAAACTTCATTTTAAAAATTTGAAATGTTGCCTTGGCAATAAGTTAAAATTTGTTAAATTTTAGTTAATTTCAGTTAACGATTATTTTATTTCTAGTAACCATTTTTTATGGTTTTAGTTTTAGTTAACTCTAATGAATAATCAAAATGGTGCAACATGTCATGCTATATTTGTAGAAAATTGTACATGTTTAGAATTAAATGATGGTGAATAAATGATTCTAGGAATTTCATTTTTGAATGAACTATGCCTTATTTAAACCTGCCTGTGTAGATGAGGCCAAAAGGGTTGAAAAAAGGGTTTACTTGCTGTAAATATTCAACAGATCAAATTGCATTATCTTTTTAATACTTCTCAGAAATGTCTCTGAGTATATTCAACAAGAATTTCAGGCCGCTTGAGATGAACAAATTCTGCAAATATCGCTACTGTAACAGAATGGGGCTGAGCTAAAAATAATAATAATAAAAAAAAAACATCTCAAAGAATGATACATGTGTTAAATAATGGAGAGGAATTACTCATTTAGCCTCTGTTTCAACCAGCAGGTGTCTGGATCTGTTCCAGGCTGATACAGATGTTTGTTTCATGTTCAAAAGCTTCGGCATCCTTTGTAGATAAAATAAAAAATTTAAATGCGTTTCATTTGCATTCAGTTACTTTAAAGGGTTCATATGATGCTTTTTTAAAGATCATTATTTTGTGTATTTGGTGTAACAGAATATGTTGACATGCTTTAATGTTCAAA